TAATAAACCGGTGCCTCATAACAAAATTATTATCAATCAATCATTTTCTTAAATAGAAGATTTTCTATAATATGAGCCTAAAATATACATTTTATACAAAATTGCATATTAAATAATTAAATTTTAAAAATATTTCTTTATATGTTTAACGACTCACCTCATTTCTTTCTGTGAGTGGTTCGAATTCATCATCATCAATCTACAAAACATTCATGTTTAGTTGTTAATATAACTACATTAAAAAGTTAACAAACATTCAGAACTGTTATTACTATCATATTAAACATATTGAACTATACAAAATTGTATAGTGAGACAGAATTGTATTCAAGTTTTAACTGATTTATTTTTCACTAGATATTAAAGTATAGTAACTTCACAACTAGTTGCAACAGTAATGAAAGTCTAATACTCACTATAACTTCAATAATATCAGTTTAACGTAATCAATTATTTTTATTATAAAATTATTTCCGATTTAAAGAACAAATTATTCTATTTTGAATATCTAAAATATCGTAACACAAATATTTATTTTCGAAAACTATATATTTAATTTGTAGTCATTTTAAATAATACTTGTATAAATCAAATTTAATTGATAAAAATAATAAACCCGTTCATCATAATAAAATTATTATCGATCAATCATTTTCTTAACTATAAGATTTTCTATAATATGAGCCTAAAATAAACATTTTTTACAAAATTGCATATTGAATAATTAAATTTTAAAAATATTTCTTAGTATGTTTAACGACTCACCTCATTTCTTTTTTTAAATAGTTCTTCAACATCAATCTACAAAACATTCATGTTTAGTTGATAATATAACTACAATAAAAAGTTAATAAAAATTCAGAACTGTTATTACTAAATTGTATATAACAGAATTGTATTCAAGTTTTTACTGATTTATTTTTCACTAGATATTAAAATATAGTAACTTTTATATATTATGTAAGTTAAATCATTTCAATGTTTAACAATTTTATGCTTTAAGAAATAATACAAATTATAAGGAGATTATCAATGATTATTATAAGATAATCATTTATATTCTTTTATACACATATGTATAAAGGAAGGTACCTAAGCCACTAAATAATTATTGCGGCTTATCTTACGTTATTGTATAGTTTATTATTATTATTGTTTGATAAGCAGAAGATTGGTTTTTACTAGTGATGAGCATTTTCGAATATTTTAAACTATAGAATAGTATTCGATAGTTTTTTTAAAACTATCAATTAACTATTCGAATTGTGTTTATACAACCGAATATTTTATTTTTAGCATAGACTATCGAATATTTTTACAATTCCAATAGTTTTTGAATGACTATGGAATAGATCGATAGTTACTTTTCGATGTTTCCCATCATTAGTTTTTACTCAACGGAGAAAATACCGGTCTCCTAATATATGTCTCACCATGCACATATAGCAAAAATTCGTTTAATTAATTTACAGCTAATCGACCTAGGTAGCATTCTTCTCAACAACAATAATAGTAATATGTGTATAAAAAAAAAATTATAAGTACTTGATTTGACTTATTGTTACTAGTTTCTTCATCGGAGCAAGGCTTTCCAGTAGAAAATATGGGTAAGGTAATTACACACATAAAACAAAGGAATATTCCTGAACAAAAATAGAAACCCATTTTTAATGATGATTATAGTTGCAACAGTAATGAAAGTCTAATACTCAAAATAACTTCAATAATATCAGTTTAACGTATATAATTATTTTTAATATAAAATTATTTCCGATTTAAAGAACAAAATATTCTATTTTGAATATCTAAAATATCGTAACACAAATATTTATTTTCGAAAACTATATATTTAATTTGTAGTCATTTTAAATAATACTTCTATTAATCAAATTTATTTGTACATTTACATAAGCTGTACGTCAATAAAAACAAATATCGCAGCTAAATTTTATTCACTCTCTTTTAAATAAAATAGAATTTAGTTTGAAATTAACAATTTTTTGAGTAATAATAAGATAATATTAATTTAATATATATCCACGTGTGTAATTTATTACTAAAATATTTTTTAAATTTTATTAATAATTCTACTGGTATCTATTATCATATATTTTAATACACTTATTTATAATTAGTGGTTATTTTTATTTTATTATTACAGCAATGACTAAAAAAATGTGATATTGTTAATATAAATCACAATTTTTAAAACGTTTTACCGATAAATATAAATTTATTCTTTAAACAGTTGAAAAAATAATAAATCAATATGGAAGCTCTTCGTTTATTTTAATGTTACAGTTTCAAAAATTTAGTAAAATTGTAACTAAACTTAGACACTGGTGGAATAACATAAATTAAATTAGTTTAAAAATAAAATTGTATTTTATAATTTTAAATTTGATAAAATAAAAATTTCACTGAATAATATAAAATATGATAAAGCAAACATATTTTTTTCAAAAAAATATGTTTCAACTATTCATTTTATTTATTCATTTTTAAATAAAATAAAATATAGCATAAAAATGCCAACTTGTTTAATGAAATACGGCTTTAAAATTTTAACACGTGTATAATTTATCATTAAAATATTTTACAAATTTTGTTAATAATTCTGTTTGTAATACAATACCTACTAAAAATAGTGTTACAATTCTAAACATCTTTTAAAGATAGGTTTTCAAATAAACAAATTTAAGATAAAAAATCCTATTGTTTTAAAGAAATACAGATAATAATTTATATTATAACCAATTGAATAATTTACTACTAACTTTTTTCAATAAGAATTTCTTCAGCTATTTTAACGTTACATTTAAAAAAATTTAATTAGTATTTCAGCTTAAGCACTGACAAAACAAAGTAAAAAGTTTTACATTATTCTATTTGACATGCCACAGAAAGTGGTTTTTAGCCCTCATTCATTTGTTAGGGAGTCAAAGATGGTTCTTGGATAGGCAAATGATTGACGGAATGGGTATTATGGACGACTATAAATATATAGCCACAGGAAGAGATTCAAAATGACAACCTTTTCACAAAAAATTAACTTATTCAATTTAACTATTGAAAGTTTTCCGAAAATATTACAAGCTTTAAATATATATCAAATAAAAGCTTATGATAAATACTATAAGTTTTAAAAAAATTATTTGTACCGACACTTTTTCTTTTATGGGTAAACGGCCGTCGAATTTAACGAAAATTGTAATTTTTATGTAAAAATCACTGTTTAACATGAAATATTTTAATTTTTAAAACTGCCATAACTTTTTGAAAAATGAACAAATTAAAATAATTATTTTAAAATGAAACCTCAGAAATTTTTCTTACATTTGATATAATTTTTTTGAAAAGCTGACTCTAAATCTGCCCACAGGAGAGATTCAAAAAAGCATGAAAAATGTATAACCTTTATTTTATATTACTTGTAAACAATCAAAATAACTTATGTGTTATAACATATACACTATTCAACACAACTTCTTATTATTTATATATATGTCAATTTATCCATTGTGAAATATGCTATCTCAATATAATAATCATGTAATGTGTAATTTTTTTTTTTTTTTTTTTACGCTTTTTTTAGCCCATTAAGGGCCACAGCGGCCTCCCCAAAGGAGGAGGTTTCTTAACCATTTATACTCCGGGACGGGTGGTTAGTCCGTCGCCGGAGGTGGGATGGCGACTCCAAATTACCGAACTGATCTCTCGTTCGGTAAATGAAGCCGCCCGTGACCGAGTTTTGAACCTGAGACACTACGCGTCAAGCGCTGCCGCGTTACCGACTCGGCCACACCGTCCCACTTAAATACACTTATTAAATACAATAAATTAAAAAGATCACTAAAAGCGCAGACAACAACATCCTTGGATTGGGGGTACTATCATTTTCTATAAAAAGCATTGAAACCCTTTTAGAGTGTCGAGAGCGACGAGAGTTGAAGTTCTAGTTTACATTAATAAAAACACAATTGTTAGCCACTATCCCGTGTTGTTGTCAGCTATATTTTTTGTACATCTTGCTTTTGTATATGTGAAAAGAATTTGTTTCAATTTTTATCTTGTGACGAAATACAAATTGAATACCTCTGAGAGTATAAATATATATATCGAAACATATATTGAATTATCTCACAACAATTTGTAACAATAAAAGAAGTAAGTAAATTTATGTTATCCCAATTATTTAGAGTTAATAAATTTGAGTAAAGGATGACAAGCAATAGATCATTTATTAAATTAATATCTTAAAGTATTAATTTTGACTGGTTGGTTAAAATATTATACATAATCACGTTATATGGTATTCGTGGACTGGCTCTGCCGTCTCGTTGCCTTTTAGATAGGACAGTAGAAACTAACCAGACAAAAGTTTATTACACCTCAATTAGAGGTACTGCGTTTTATTATTTTTATATCTATTTGTCTTTGTCGTTTATTCTTGAAAACTTTTAATAGAACAGCTTTAATTAATAATTGGTCAGAAAACGAGAAACCGCAAATTTTAGTTGCATTTTTGCAAGGCCGAGCCCACTTTTTATGATTATATTGAGTCCTTGGAATTACCCTGGAATGAATTAGAGAATAAGTTTAGAAATGAATTTGAAACCATCGCTCAGAATGATATGTTACGTATTTTATTAGAAAAAAGAAAACAGTTAAATGATGAACTAGTTGCTTATATTAATGATATAAAAACTTTATGTAAAAGAATACATGCTAATATGTCAGGTATCGAAATAGTGAGAAATGTTATGAAGGTCTTAAATCAAGCATTGCGAGATACGTTAGTATTTTAGACAATAATAATTTAGACGAGTTAAAAAGAAACATTCAGAAGTATGAGATGGTTGAGTTTATGATCACTGGAGAAACAATTAAAAGTCCGTTTGAAACAAAAACAATCTATAATAAATGAAAAAATTATGAATTGAATATATATGAGAATGATGATTTAAAAAAATTAATTGAAGAATTTCAAAATTTAAAACAACTCGAACCATACGTCCCTGATAGAACCACAACTTCAGGTTCTTACCTTATATAAAAACCCATATCTATCATATTACTATTTTATTTTATTAATTTTTGTTATTTGAATTATAACATTTTATTGTCGAATTATTTATTATTCATGCATAACTTAGTTCTGGTTGCTTAAAAATTTTTTTTGAATCAAATTTAATTCATTAGCCTACACTAAGTATTTAGGATTTAGGCGAGGAAAAAGAGTAAAATTTAATTATTTATACAAAAAACCATCATAAATAACATAAGCATCGAAAAGAAGTTTGACTGTGATTTCAGTCATTGCTCAGTATTTAAAACTTGGACTCAAAATTTGCGAAAGGCGGGGCAATTTTCGTAAGCTATTTTATAAATTCGCTATTAAAACTAGTATTAATAAAAAAAGCGTATTAAAAATTCAAAAATTGAGAGGGAAAATAACATTTTTGAATTGACAAATTTTTCTAATCACTTTAAACTGATTATGAACAAAAAAAATCATCAAAATATCATATATGCTGACATTTTTATACACATGGCTACATGAAAGTTACAATAACATCCATTATTTTTTTCTTTAATGTATAATAATTTAGTTTACAAATAAAATCGAAATAATTTTGTATCCATTAAAACAGTGAAAACTATTACAATTTTTGTTGTATATTTTTTTGTTGTTGTTAGATACCAGTTTGCTTATTACAGAATGTTGTCAAATCTTTCAATTAGCGTTTTGTATTCGATGGTTCATATTTTTTTCTCCTAAATTTCCATTGTTTTGAGTATAAGTATACACACAATTAAATTCTATTTAGCTTAGAAATTATTTTCATAATTCTTAATTTATCTAAAGGGTACGCTACTATTATGAACTGAATCAAAGCATTCCATTAGTATGTGACACATTGTAAGGATATTTTATATTTGATGATTTATTGCTTTCAGTTGAAGAAAGCTTTTTTAGAGATTTAAACAATTTACAATTATTAATTGAAGTTTTATTTGTTTATATTGGCAAAAATTTATAAGAAATCTATTTTTATATGTTTAAACATTTTAGAAACGAGAAATAAAAAGTACATTCGTATCCCTACTAAGATCATTAAAAAAAAATGCGTGAGAAATATTCATAAGATTTTGAACCGAGAAAATAATTTGGGAAGTATAAATATATCAACAAACCCAGAAGTAAATCTTAGACCAAATGAAATTAAGGAAGTCGAAGAAAGCTTTCTTAAGATTATAAGAAAAAGAATGGACGAGGATTCAAGACATCAAAAGTAATTTTATTATTACATTTCTTAAAATAAGTAAACAAAATTACTTATAAAATTTTTAACAAATGTATTTCTTTAATTTTTAAAGAAACTATCGACTTGGACAGAATACTTTACTCAGTACCCTAAAAATGCTTTTTATAATAATTAACTAACCTATACTTATTGTTAATTAATCAATAACATACAATAGAGATAGTCTTAAATAATAAATATAAAATATAATATCTTATATTATATTTTATATATGTTATGTATCTCTTTATTGCACTAAACACTTTTAATATTACAATAAAACATAACATATTAATTATATTACATAATGTGTAATCAAGTTGGTTAGGTTATAACAAACAAAACAGTGTCGCCACATAATACAACACAACAATATATAATATAAATACTTTTTGAGAAATTAATCCAGGTACTCCATAATTTTAAATATCTATAAATTTCGACTTTTTTAAACTTTTTTTCTTAAAAGTATCATAATTTATTCATAAATAAACAAAACAAATAATTTTTATATAATTATGCCTATTAATTAATAGGTGTTTATCTTTCATTTAGTACACGTTTTATAAAAATTTAACTCTATACCTGTCCATTATGGTGATCCTTATTTTATGAATTTCGAAATTTCTTTTAGGACACCTCTTCATTTTTATAATAATTGGTCAGANATTTCGAAATTTCTTTTAGGACACCTCTTCATTTTTATTTTTAGTAAAAAAAAAAAGTAAATATTCTGAAAATTTAATTAGTATAATTAATATATTTAATTAATATGATTCTTTGACGTTTTAAGTGCTTCTATAATATATGTAACATTCTTTTCGAATTTAACGATCTTTTAAAAATTAAAATTGATAAAAAACTATCTACGAAATAACACGGGACAAGATAGCCTGTCCAAAATTGAAATATTGAATATAGAGAAAGATGTGGTTGCCAAATAAAGTTAGTTGATGTGACAAATACATTTGCAAATGGTAAAGTCAGAAAAGTAAACTTCTTAAAATAAAATTGTTAGATAAAAGTTTTTTTTCGTTGCTTGTAACAGCTTATATTATTAGGTTTTTATGTATTACTTAAACTTAAGTCATTGAACTAGAGTTACATTTATTATGGTAAAACTATTATTATTTTAAACACGCACTTATTTTTATTATGCAATTGTTTTTTATTTGATAAAAGTTTTATTAGGTTAATTTATTTGCTATGTGATGCTGTTTATTAAAATTAAAGAATTATTCAGGGTGACAATAAACAAAAAAATATTTTTTTTTAATAAATTGTATAGGTAATTAAGAACTGTAACCAGGTATATGAGATTAAAACACAGTTTCTAATCTTAAATGTATTTATAAATATTTATTACTACATATCTGAATTGCATATTTTTACAGAGACCTCTTTGATATTTTATAATATTTATGTTTGATTATGTATTTGATAAAGGTTTTAAGATTTATTTTTAATTTTATGAAATAAGTATTGATAGAAAGGGTTTTAATTGTCTGATGTAGAGAAATAAAAATTGTACCTTGAATTGTTAAGGATCATTTACATTTTTAGGGAGAGGCTTTATTTTATACTTGACTTTAAAGCCTCAAGTGTCTGGTTGCGCCACTGTTAGAAGATATTTTTTTTTCAACACACCTTCACAAAAATTTTGGATATGCCTATGATCTGTATTAGAGATGGAAAGTTTAGTTCATTTCTGTGAATAGTTCATTAGTTCATAGTTCATTCAAGTGAATAGTTCAAATGAACTATTCTTAAGTTCACTAATTTTATTGATCATGCTGATACTGTTTGGCAATGAACTATTCATTTTATCACTATTAGTATAGCAGTACACAGTTCAGTTGTAGTTCACATTACTCATGGGCAATTAAGTTATAAACTAACCCTTAACCTGAACATCATAAACTAAGAAAAAATTATTATCAATACCCTCATGGCTCATGTTATCATTATCACCTAATTCGAGGTAGATATACTGACTAGTAGTCCTAAGTTAAATCAGAAATCTGATCTAATATTTGTACATAGTATGAATTTATTTTATTGTTAAACAGTTAAAAACCGTGTAACATTTTAACAATATAATTTATTTGTTATCTAATTGTAAACAGCTATTAACCATTTACAGTATTTCGAACAACGAACCACAGAGAAATTTTAAAGAAGTTCGCGAACTATTTCATTTATACATTGCTACCAATTTTTTTCGAACTGTGAACTGTTAAGTTACAGGTACTGAAACAGTTCAGAATAGTTCATCTAAGTGAATAGTTCAAATGAACTATTCGTTCACGAACTTAACATCTCTAATCTGTATTACTGTATTACTGTAGCGTAATTTGAGCGATATGTAAGAGTTCATTAAATTTGTTCTTTATTTAAAAAAAACAATTAGGATTTTTAATTCTCTTCAATAAGTTATTCAATAAAAAAAAAAAACCTATATGTATTATTTATGATTATCATAATGTACTATGAATAATAATAAAAATAACTCGATTTCTTTAGATATCATTTTAAAATTAAATTTTTTATTTAATTATAAAAAGTTTAATATTCAATATTTTATTTATAAATCAAAATAGTTTAAGACAGTATTAAATTTTAACTTTTTTGGTACAATATTTGTAGCTCATACATAAAAATCGGTATTTCGATTAGCGATTGTCTGATAAAACTAATTATTTCATATTGGCCAAAATTAAAATGGAATGACAAGAAAGCAATAAGTATTCGTAAAATTTGTGTTTTATAACAATGTGATTACATGATTAAAATATAAACTATCAAAATTGTAGTGTTATTAAACATTTTTCAAGGGTTAATTGTATTTTGCATAGATCATTAACATATAAAACTTGATGAAATTTACAACACAATTTTTTTATGCTTAATATCAAAAAATATAAACTAATTATTATATTTGCATCGGTCAAATGTAATTGAATATTAAGAAAACAATATTTTTTTAATAATTTATATTTTTTTACACTAAATAAGGTTAATAATATAAAACTACAAAAATCATTTTTAAAAACTTGTTATAATTAGCTCAAATTTTAATAGTTAAAAGTACTAAAATTAATTAATTTGTATAAATTTTTATTATAATAATTTATTTATCTATTTGGCAAACATTTATCAATAAAGCTAAACTATAATTAAAAATAGACATCTATTGACTAATTTAAAATGACATAAGTTTATAAAATTAATTATTGACTAATGTGACAGTATTAATTTAAGAAACTAATACAAAACTATAAACATTTTTATTAATTACAATTATATTTATATAACTCAATAATGCAATAATCAACATAGTAGATAATTGGAAAGTTATAATAAAAAAAAAAGATTAAATTTGTAAGTTAAACTAAATTTATATCATAATAAAAAATATTTATGATTTTAACTATATATTTAAAAACCCAACTAATAAAATTCTAAAATTGTAATGTAAAATCACAAGAGAAAAAGAAATTGATGAATATATAGAAATAGTTTCTAATTATTAATTAGCTTTATAAGCATGTTTTACAAAAACAAGTTGTACTATAATTTCAATTTAAAGGTATAAAAGTTATAAAATTTGGTAACTTACAAATTAATTTTTTTTGTTTCATTTTTTTCAAAAAATGATGTAAAATAATTTTTATATTTTAAATCAGTAATATCAAGACATTAAGAAGTTGATTAACCAAATAAATTAAAATTTAAATAGCTAAAATCTTGATGTATACAATTTAAAAATATTGAATTATTTTTATTGTTGTATAAAAGATAAATATATCATATAAAGTTAAGATTGAACTTAGTGATGTAACTGAGATTACAAATTATAAAAATAAGTTTATAAAATATTTCTACTTTAGAAATGCAATTATAAATTAAAATAAAACTAATACTGAAATACTATTATGAGAAGTCAATAATAATAAAAGAAATAGATAAAAACAGATCCAATAAACATTTGTGCAATTATGAAATATTATTTACTATTTGTTAATATACTTATTGGACATCCAATTTGTCAGTAAATATTTAATATTTTTAACCATGAGTTGTATCATCTTCAACAAAGTCATGAGCCTCTTCCCTTGTAACACATTCTACATGACTTACTTTATTACGAAATTTAACACCGTAAAATTTATGTGCATGTTGTAATAACTCGGGTCTAAATGTAGTTGTAATAAATTGTGCTTCAGAAGACATTTCATGGATCATATCAGCCACAGCTTTTCTATGTTGTGGATCTAATGCTTGATCAATTTCATCAAATAAGTAGAATGGTGCAGGATCACATTTTTGAATCGCAAATATTAAACCTAATGCTACTAAAGATTTTTGCCCCCCTGAGAGTTGGTTCATTTCACGCATTTCTCCACCTTGTCCAACAAATGATACTTTGATCATAACACCAGAGTAATTACCAACACTTGTTTCATCCCTCATATTGATTGTTGTTGATTCTTCACCACCAACAGTTTTCATAACCAATTTTGCATGGCCAGCAGGTACAAGTTTAGAAAAAACATATGAAAAATACTTAGAAACCTGTTTAAAAGTTGATTGTATGGCATCACACTTTCTTTGTTCAAGTACATTCATGAGCTCTTCAATTTTTTGATAACCACGGTCAAGTTCTTGTTTTCTAGAAACAAGTTTCTCTTTTTGTTCAGAAAAATTAATAAACTGATCCAAAGCTTTTTTATTAACATGAGCAAATTTCTTTAAATGACTATTAGCTTTTTCGAGTTCTTTGAACAAATTTTTAGATGAGTATGACATATACTTAGTTACAAGATCAGTATTTGGTAAAGCACCAAGCTCATTAATTTTGGCTTCTGATTCATCTAGTTTTTTACGTAACATGTCTTGCTTAGATGAAACTTTACAAAGGTCTTTTGATTCATTGTCAAGCTTTTCTTGGGCTTCTTTTTCTTGAGTTTTCCATTTGTCTAACTCTTCTTGACATTTTTTCTGCCATTTCACTGCTTCATGAACTTTAGAATCAATAGCTTTCATGTCAACATTAATGGTTTCTAATTTTTTTTCAATAACATTTAATTCTAATCTACTACTTTCTAAGGTACGTTTACGTTCTTCTACTGAAATTTCTTGTAATGCTTGTAACAATTCATCTCTACGCCTGATTAAATTATTTGTTAGTAAGTTTTCTAACTTATTTTTATCTGCTTCCAATTTCATACGCATAGCAAATGCAGTTTTATTTTCTTGAGTTAATTGTTTTATATCACTATTTAATTTGTCCATTTCTTTTTGATCAGCAACTGATAATTGTGCCATGAGCTCTTGATGTAGCTCAGATTCAAGTCCTGAACGAGTAGTTTGCATAGCTTCCAAGTTGGAAGAAGCAGTTACAAGTAGACGTTCTTTTGTTACTCTGTATCTTTCAATACCAACCATTTCTTCTTTGATGAGCCTAATATCTCCTTTCAGTTTATCAAAATTTCCTTTAGCTTTACTATTCTTTGTCTCAGTTTTTTGCATGTCAGACATAACTGTATTTACATTTACTTCAATTTCATTTAACTGTGTTCTAAGTGAAGTTAGTTGTTCCTCAGATTCTTTGATTTGGTTTATTAAATCATTGCGCTGTTTTTGGATTTCTAATTTCGAACGCACATTTTTAAAGTACCCACCGGTTAAAGTTCCACTAGATGATACTTGGTCTCCATCAATTGTAATACAATCTAACATACTCTGTTTTGAAATACTTGTAGCTATTTCTAAATTACGACATATTAATGTTTTTCCAAATATAAAACGCATGGCTTTATCTAAATGAGGTTCATAATTTAACTTGCTAACCATTGGTATAGCATCTTTAGATTGCGGGTATTTAATTTGTCGTGCAGTTAATCTATTAAGTGGCATAAAAGTTACTTCACCTGGTAAATTTTGATTATTAATCTCTTTTAAAATTTGTGTACCAATTTTATCTGAATCAACAATGTGAAAAAACATCCTACCCCCAGCAGTTACTTCAACAGCTGTTTGAATACTTTCATCACAATCAAAATTTTCAATAACTTGACCATAGTATTGTTTAGCAAGATTAGCTTGAGCTCCACCACGCTCTTTGAAAATATCCAAAACTTTACGGACACTATCTCTACCATTTAATATAGCTTTTCCCGCCATACTACGAAGCATTTGATCAGCTTTTGCTAATTCTTCTTTTAATGTTGAATATGTATGTTGTAAAGTACTCTCTTTACGCCAGAGCTCATTCCTTTGACTTTGATATTGATCTTTACTTTTTTTCAATTCATAATAACGTTTATTATACTCATCTATTGAAGTTCTTTGTTTTTCTAGTTCACTTGAATTAGTATGCACTAAATTTTCAAGTTCTACTAAACGTTCAGCATCTTTTTTTAAATCTTCAGTCAATTTTTCTTTATGATCAGTTTTATCTTTAATTTGTTTGGTAAGTGATTTTAGTTCTTTTTGAATCCATTGATCTCTGTCTTCTTTAGATGCAAATTGACTTCCGCGGCCTTGTTTAGCATATAATTCTTTTCGTTTTTGTTCTTTTAGACCTAATTCTCTAGTACAATCTTCTTCTTTTTTCTTTTGTGCTTCATATTTAGGTTTTATTTCTTGTAAATCTGATTCTTTTGTCCTAATAGTTTCTTGTAATTTTTCTAATTCTTTAACAGCTCTTTCTCTGGAATTGTTGTCGCCTTGTACTTCATCAGTTAAATCTTTGATTGTAAAATCTAATTTTGTTTTTTGTTTAATTAGCTCTTGTTGTTCTAAGCTTAGTGTATCTTTATCTTCTTTGATGCTTAAAACTTGTCTTTTGGCTTCACGTGACTGTTTTGCAGCTTTTTTTGCTTCATGTGCAGCTTCTTTTACTTTAGCAGTTAGACGCTTTTGTTCTTCATCTACATTATTAATACGACTCTCTAATTCTTCTAGTTTTCTTTGGGTTTCTTTTAACTCTCTGTCATGAATGCAATATTCTAGAGTTCTTCTTTTTTTATCCCAAACCTGATATTCTTTCAATTCTTCTTTTTCTTCTTCAAGAGTACTTAATCTATCCTCAATAGTTTTAATAAATTCAACAATTTTATCAAGTTTTGTTTGAGTATCTTTTAATATTTCAATAGATTCTTCTTTTCTTTCGTCATATACACGAGTGCCAGCAACTTCTCTTAATAGTTTGAGTCTATGAGAATCAGGTGATGTGGCCATTTGATTAATTTTTCCTTGTTTTACAATGTAATATGGATTAGAATGAGAAAATCCTGCAGACTCTAACAAATTAGTAACATCACTCCTAGGAACCATTTTTTTATTCAAAAAATACTGATCTTTTTTAACACCAATAACTCTTCTTAAAACTACTTCTTCTTTATCTATTGGTAATCGATTATCTGTATTATCAAAAATTATTTCTACATAAGCTGAATTAACTTTAGGGCCTGTTCCTTCATGTAACAAAGCTTGTCTTTGTTCAGGACGAAGATGAGAAAACTCATCACTTAAGACAAATTGAATGGCATAAAAAAAATTACTTTTTCCAGAGCCATTACGGCCTACTACAACATTGTGTCTTCTATCAAATGGTTCAACGACAGTTTGTTCGCGGTAGCTCTTGAAACCATGAATAATTACTTGCTTGATAAACATGTTTATAAATATAAATGTACGCTACTCTTAATTATAAAAATTATTTTGAAAGCTTTGAACTTTTGTCTTCATATTAAAAATTTTTGTTCGACAATTAAGTACATTATGAATACCTTGAAAAAACAATATACATTATTGATAAATCCATAAAAAAAAGCACTACATGATATACTTACCCATTAAAAACATGGTCATAAATATAATTGGATAAAGACATTATATGTATAATATCTACATAATACTTCAAATTTTGAAAATTTTATAATTAAATAAAAAGTCAGTACAGAATAAATCACAAAATGTAAATGTTTGTTTACAATATTTTACAATGATAAGCAGTGTTGCCACATAAAAATAAATAAATCTTTATTTTTCATTTGATAGAACTTTTAATTTGTTATCATTCTATCAGACAAGTAAGCCTATGTCCTATGAATAGAAATACGATAACAGATACAGACTTAAAAAATATCTTCTAAGTACATGATAATAGATACCGATTATCAAATTTTCAAAAGGGTAGTGAATAAGTAATTTTAAAGCAAATAATCTGAAATACATCTTTAGGTATCATTTAAGTTATTATTAAGCTGAATAACTTAATTAATTTTATTTAAATCTATTTATTAATATTTCTTACTGTAAAAAATCTACAAAATGATAAATTTAAAACAGTTTTCCAAAGTATGTATATATAAAAATATTATATTTATTGTTAATAATTTATATAAATATAATTAAATTATTATTATTAATTACTTATAATCAATTTTTTTAAATATTTTTATAAGGTTGTTCCCAGTACAACGCTTCATTTACGTCATACAAGTCTGTTACGTGATAAATGTTTTAAATATAGATTTCTTCATTTGAATGCCAAAAATCAAGGGTATATAAAAATTATTCATTGAACATACTTTTTTTTTTTTTTTTTGTATAAATTTTACTTTAAAGTTAATTTTTCTAAAATATTAATTTTAGAAAATCCCATGTTGGTAAATACACTATTGGTTCACTCATTTTTGGATTTAGTGCTGTAGTGGCTTATGCAAAGTACGATAATAATTTCAGGCAATGGTTAAAGATAAATGTACCTGGTTCAGATGATATATTAAAATTAATTTTGCTGGAAAAAAAATCTCCAAATGATTATATTGATAATGTAATACAAATGTAAGTTTATAATTTAAAAATCTAGTAAAGAAAAACTTAAAACAATAGTTCTCAAATAGTATACAAGTGACAGTTTTAGAAAGACATGTTTTTTAAACTTTAACATGTTTTCTCAATTTATTCATGATAAATAACGTCTGACTAATTATTTTATTTAGATCTTTGCCTGAATAGGTCTTATTTGTTAGACTATGTTAAATATTACTGATTTGTTTGTTGTATATACTATAATTTTGTATTATGCGATATCAGTTTTTAATTTATGGAACTATATTTTAGTTATAATTTATTGACTTTTAGATTTATGAAACCTGAAAAAGCTTTATCTTCTGTTGAAAAAGTTCAGAAATTAAAAGTTTTACCTTCACAAAATATAAAAAATACAAGTTCAACAATAGAAAACTCACAAGGAATAAAACAAAATATTTTGGGTAAAAATAAATTATAATTTTAGTTAAAAATACTTATCTGTAACTAATAACCAATTTAGTTTTTTGCCAGGTAAGTAAATGATGGAAATGTTATTTTGCATGAAAATGCTATTATAAAAATATAGGGAGAAGAAAAAAAAACTTTGTATGGTATTTATAGATTTGGAGAAGTGTATGACAGAGTGCCGAGAGAGGTTTCAAAATGAGCATTTATGTACACGTGCATGCTATTTGCTAATATAATAAGCATAGATGGTTTGGTCATATTATGAGGAAAGACAAATATCAAAGCTATAATAGTGATTATGGTAATGAACATTGAGGTGAGAAGAGGAAGAAAAAGAAGTAGTTTGAATGTAATTAGGGGGTACATGAGAACTGCTGGTGCATGTATATTTATTATGCTATAACTTTTTGAAAAATGTATGGATCAATACAATTTTTTCATGAGGAGTAGTATTTATAACATCTTTCATTCAACATACTGTTTTTTTTAAATCGGACTATTTCTCTTAATACAGGGGGGTTCAAAACATAAAAATGCTTATAGAAAGTAGAACTTTTTCAACTTAATTTTTATATTGTTTTGGAAATAATGACACTTTTATATACATCTTAAATTAAAGCTTATGTAATATACTTTAATATTAAAAAAAAAAAATTTCGTACTTTATCTTGTTTTCATGGTGAAAATAGTCATCAAAGTTAATAAAAAAAATACGATTTTTGTAAAAAAAGTAAAGTTATGAGAGTTTTAAGTAAAAAAATTTGAAAAATTTTCGAAATTAAGTAAAATTAAAACTATATTAAAAATATTATTAATTTAAAAAAACTAAAAAATATTAAAAATATTAAACTCAAAAGCCACAAAAAAATTAATGAAAAGTCGCGGATACGTATTTCGGAAACAATGTTACCATTATCAACGCTAAACACATACTGACACCCCGACTAGAAAAAACTCCCTTATATACCCCTAGTGACCTTATCACCTAGTGACGTTATCACTAAGTAATATTATCACATTTTGCCAGTTTACACAAGTTTAATAATGAATTTTTCAGTGGGCCAAGATCCCAATTAATTAAATTGTTTTTATTTTTAAACATTTCTATTGCTTCTCTGATATTAAGTTCTTTGTAATTATTTACGTTTTTAATTAGTTTTATGGTTTTAATAGAGTGATTATGTGTCAATAAATGTTCGGCCACTGGAGATTTCTCAATTTCTTGATTTTTAATATTTCTTAAGTGCTCTTTAAACCTGACCCCTATATTTCTTTTTGTTTGTCCTACGTAACATTTATTACAACTTTCACATTGTATTTTATAAATGCCTGATTTCCCCCCTTCATCTACCTTATCTTTAGGGTTACCTAATAAATCTCTTAAATTATTACTCTTAGATGTTACCAAAGTAATACCAAAATTCTTAAATATTTTAGTTAATCCATTTGAGATGCCCGGATAAAATAAAATTGGTGATCTAATTACTTTTTGTTCCCCCTCGCTGGAGAGTGTACTAGCTGCCCTCCTTTCTTTTTTCCACTTTTGTTTTCGGACTAATTTCAAAATTATGTTTTCGTTATACCCATTAAATTTAGCTATTTCTTTTATAACCACCAATTCTTTATCATAATCTATTTTATTCATCGGAATATTAATTAATCTGTAAACCATACTATTAAAAGCTGACAATTTGTGTTGCCAGGTGTGGTTCGATGTGTTCGGAATGTATCTGAACGTGTGTGTGTTTTTCCGATAAATTTCAAAATTTAGTTCCCCCTCTGTTCTTTTAACTAATAAATCCAAAAAAGGCAATTTTCCCTCTATTTCTTGTTCATATGTAAATTTAATCGATGGGTAAAAAGAATTTAAATGTTGTATGAAAACCCCCATATTAAAATCTTTATTTATAACTGCAAAAATATCATCGACATACCTAACCCAAATTTTTGGAAAATCACCATAAGTGTATTTTAAATTTGTTTCAAACCTACTCATAAAAAGTTCTGCTAAAAATGGTGATAGCGGATTTCCCATTGCTGTGCCCTCAGTTTGCTCATAAAATTTATTTTGAAACTGAAAAACATTTTGACTCATACATAACTTTGTTAAATTAATAAGCTCATTTATTTTATCCTGTTCAATGTTTTGGTCCTTTAGCCAGTCTTTAAGAAAATCAATTGTTATATTTATTGGAATATTCGGAAATAAGGCAACTACGTCAAAAGAAATTAACCTGTCATTATTTTGAATGGTATAACTAGATAATTGTTTAACTAAATCAATATTATTTTTAACTGAAAAACTATCGAATTTTTTGAAAGATGAAAATACCCTTACTAGGTGTTTAGCCAAATTGTAAGTCGGAGCATTAATATTCGACACAATAGGTCTCATAGTACTTCCTGGCTTATGTATTTTTGGCAAAGCATATAGTTTAGGTATTTGAGGGTTTGAAATTTTAATGAAAAACCTGAACTTTTCTTCGATTATTAATTTTGAACTATTTATGACGTTTGTAGCCTCCCTTATCATTTTACTTAATGGATTCTTTTTAATTTCTTTATAAGGACCCTCTTGAATCATTCTTGATACTCTTTCATAATAATCTTCTTTTTTTAGTATTACAACAGAATTCCCCTTATCTGCCTTTAAATAAAAACAGTTTTTATTTTTTAAGTCTTTTATGAGTCGTGAATGTTTTTCATTTTTTCCTAAACCCCCTTTATTTATAACAGAATTTTTTTGTAGAAAATTTAAACACTCCCTTCTTGCTAAGTCTTGATTATTAAAATCAACACTTTTAACCCCCATTTCAATTCCTACTAGTAGATCTTCCTAAAATTATCGATTTTTAAATTTGTAATTTTTTTGGAGGTTTCCCCCATTTATGGGGAACGAGGGAAATTTTTACAATTTTTGAGGGTAATGTCTTCGACTAGATACGATTTGTGATTTTTTGACGTATTGTTGAAAGAAATCCATTCAGTGAGAGCTAAGAAAAAGTGGTAACAGACAAAAAACACATCATAGTAAAATTAATACCTTCTCAGCTTCGCATCAAAGCTAAAATACGATTTTTGTAAAAAAATTCTTTTTCATATTTTTAATTTTATAATGCTATAACTTTTTGAAAGATGTGTGGATCAACATAATTCTTTTTTTTATGGATGTATGATGTCTTTAACTATCATTTGGTATATTTTTTTTATAAATCTAACCCTAAACTTGCCCACAGGGGGGATTTAAAATGACAACTTTTTCACAAAAAATTAACTTTTTTCAACTTGACTTTTGAAAGTGTTCCGGAAATACTGACACTTTTATATATATCTTAAATTAAAGCTAATACAATATACTTTATTATGCGAAAAAAAAATTTCGGACTTTATTGTATCTTCATGGTGAAAATGTCTACCAAATGCTAATTTTGTGTGAAAATTCTCTATTTTATTTTTAACATTTTTAACTTTATTATGCTATAATTTTTTGAAAAATGTATGGATCAATACAATTTTTTAATGAGAAGTAGTATTTATATACATCTTTCATTGGATTTACTTTATCTTAATCAGGATATTAATAAGGAACTAGAATATCATGTAGCTTTTGGAATAATCCACCAATTTTTTAAAATTAAACACTATCTAAAGATTTGCATCAAAGCGGTTTTTTTGATAGTGATTTTAATCACTGTCAGATATCATTATACTTGATCCAACTATACCACGTCACCACTGTGGCACGACCCCCCTGTGCTGGGTTTTTGTTATTTTAATAATCAATTGAATAAAAGTATATTTAGAATTTTGATTAAGAAAATCAGCATAGCATTATTAAAAAAATTATTATTGTAATTTGCTTGTCCTTTTGCTTCACTGGTTTCTATTTATTTTAAACATTAACAATTAACACAGGATTATTATTTTTTAGAGAAAGAAAGTGATTTCATAGATGGTAATCAAACTAAATCATCAAGCAAACAATCAGCTGGTATTGATGAAATAGAAAATGAAGCGTCAATTTTGATAAAAAAAGTCACCGAGTCTTACTCAAAAGCATTTTATGCACTAAAAGGTAACTCATGAATATTAATGTAATGGTGTACTAAAATTTTTTTGGCTCAAAAAAAAGATAGTTTAAGGTCAATAATTTATATAGATCTGTTTTAAATAGAATACTATGAATTAGCTAATACTACGTTAAATAATGTTTCACAAACTAATGATTCTTGCTGGGAAACTTTAAAACAAACAAGTAAAGAAAAAGATAATTTGTATGAAGCAGCTAAAGAAAATTTAAGATATGCCAGGTATCATCATGAGTTTTTACTTCATACTTTTTAAAAATAATCTAATAATGATATTAATAAAATTAAATATTTTATCTAGCATTCATTTAGAAAATTTAGTTCAAAGAATAAATAATTCTGATTTAAAATTACCAGACGAAGAAAAAGTTGCCATAAAAGAAAATATCATAAAGAAAAAATTTAATTTAAAAACCATAGAAACAGAATTTGAAGTCGAAAGGAATAATTTATTACTATTTAGTAAATATCATGATCAAGTCATAAAAACTAGAAGGCAATTTTCAGTAAGTACATTATAACTTGTTATTAAATTATTTCTTAATTTATCCATTAAAAAATACCCAAGCTTTGAAAATTTATATATATTATTTGTAATTTATATTGGTATTATTACTAATAGTATAATTTTAAATGTGTTGTACAAAACAGGATGAACTAGAGGGAATGTTTCCACACATTAGACTTGGTGAAAAAGATATGAAACTATCAAATTCGGAGTATGAATTATTTATGAAATATGTTATTCAAAAATTATTATTTTTGCAAAGAGAACTATTTAAAGAAGAAGTGAGTGTAAAATAAAAAATATTTGAAGTATTTAAAAAAAAAAATTTCTGTGGTGATTTTTAGACTGTTGTCGATGATCAAGTAAAAAATGCTATTGATGGATTAATAAAAGAAGACCCAGATGCTCTAAATTATGTGTTAAAGATCAAAGTTCAAAAAACTCATAGAAAACTTTTAGAGAAATTTATTAATGATGTAAAGTATATATTGTTGTTTCTATACAAATGTGATAAAATAATTTATCCAAATTTTGACATTATTAATTTTTAATGTTTTAAAACTGTGATTTGCTTTTCTTAAGGAGAAAATTAATATTATTAAATTACACAGACTATATGAATGTATTTTATGAACATCAATCAATAGAGGAACATGCAAAAAATGGGTATATGGGGTAAAATGGGACATTTTATTTTCTCAATATGCAGTAGACTGAAAAATATCAATTTTTAAAATATTTTAATTAAGTAGAATTTATAAATTATAATAATAATAATAAGCATTTATCTGTACAGTATTTATTGAGTTTCTATTTTTTTACTATTTGGAAAAAAAGGAATTTTGAGATGCTTAAAATGATACTGTATAATGATAGTTATAGTGATTTTTTATAGTAGGAACTATATTATACTACTTATAAATTAATATTTTCACATTGTATTTATGTTATTTTTGAAATATTACATAGACTAAAATCATATAATAAAATATTTGTATTTGGGACAAATAGGGATATACTGCTCAGAGCATTATGGAATGAACCGTCATGCCCAAAAATATTTTTTATAATTAAAAATTATTTACATTTCCATATTTTAATTAAAAATTAAATAATTCATAAAAATTGATAAATTTATTTTATAGTAGTACAGAACTATAAACAAAAAAGTGATAGTTAATAATTTATTTATTTTTGGTAATAATTTGTTAGAAATTCAAAACAAGAAAGCTAAAAAATTTATTTTTACTGAATTTACCTAGTAAAATAAATCTGTATAAATAAAATAAAATTATTTTCTGTCTCATTTTATATCATCTTAGAGGTTAAATAGGAAATTCAATTATTATTTTAAACTTGTTTTAAATACATTAATTAGTTGATATTTTAACAAATATCAAAAATTTTTATTATAAAATATCTTGAATTTTAATATAGTTTTAGTTTTATTAGAAAAAAATATAAATTGAGCATGTTACATCGAGTTGAGTGTTATGTATACTACAATTATTTGCTGAATTATTGATAAAAAAAAAAAGTTGTATAACTTACAATCTATAAAGTATTTTTAATCACTTTTAATATGAAGAAATTGTTATTTTTATTTTTTAAATAAAATTAAATTTCTATTTTTACATTTATAGAGTTTTGAAATACAATCAGATTGTGATGGAAAACTGAGACAACAGTTAAAATTAAAAGCTGAGATACATTTGGACCATTTGAAAGAAGCAGCAAATTTAGCTGAAAGAGAAGTTGACAGACGTTTACGATTAGAATATTCCGAAAAAGCTGAAATAGAAAGACTTAAGTATCAAGAACAAGTTATCAGTACAATAACTGTATTGCATGCCATTGATGACGCTCTTAAAGGTTATTGTTTTTTATTTATGTGATTAAAAATAAGTTTAATAAAAAGTAAATATTAAATTATGTGATTATTTTCTATAAGTGTTACTTTAGACATTTTTTGGTAGAATAAAAACAAATTAAAAATTTCAAAAAATTATGTAAAATGGAATTTTTAAAGTGTCAAAAACAAATCTTTCCTATAAAATTTACTAATAAATTTTTACCACACAAAAGAAACATTTTTTTTATATATATGATTAATAATACTAAAACCCATTTCTTCGACATATCAATTTTTAGATAAATACATTGATTTACATTTAAATTATATTTAATAAATATTCAAATGATATAAGTATTTGTTCATATTTATTTTATTCTAGACCATTCTAAAAAAGAAGAGAAGTTAAATGAGTCAATTTCCTTGTGGACAGCTTGTAAATCGCTATTTGAAGTTATAACTACAGATCAAAATGTGTCAAAGCATGAGTTAAAACCTCTGTTACAATATATAAAAAACATAAAAAACGCTGGACGTAAGAAATAGTTTTCTAAACAGCTTGTAAGATTCTTTAATATATAAATTTTTTTTTTATACATTTTACTTATGTAGAAAACCACAAGATAGTAAATCAATTATTAGAAACCATACCAAATGAAGTATTAACTCGTGGTGTTTATACTGAAGAAACATTAAAAGATAGATTTTATAGTGTTGAAGATAAAGCATATCATAATGCTCTGATTCCTGAAAAAAACTTAAATGTTATTGATATGTTTACATCATTTGTGTTTAGCTCTTTAATATTTAAATCAGTTAAAATTTCCGAAGATGAATTAAATAATTCACCCATTAACATAAATGATTTAAATAATATTGAAATCCTTCAACGAGCAAGGTAATCATGTGTATCTATTTTGATTAAAATTTTTTGGGTTCATAAAAAATGATCAATAGAATTATTTTTTGTTAATCAGGTATTGGGTGGAACGAGACAACTTTATTCAAGCTTTAAAGTACATGAATTTTCTGAAAGGTGGTGCAAAAGTTATAGCTGATGAATGGATGAAAGAAACTCGTACTTATCTTGAAACGCAACAAGCAGCAGACACCTTATTGGCTTATGCTTCATCAAAGCTTCACTCACATATCGTTGTGAAAAATTGAAAATAAATAATTTTGATTTTGATGTGTTAAAACTGTATATTATTTATTTAATATTTGTAAAGTATTGTTATTAGTTTTCAACCTAATTGTCAGCATCATAAATTATATTTATATCTGATAAAACAATTATGATTTATACTATGTAGATACTGAAATCTAACAGTTGAATATTTTTGAGATAAATTTTCATCTTAAATACTTGTTGATTAACTTTTGTTTGATTTATAAGAAACTGTTTTTAGCCAATTTAAACCGGCTATATGCAAATTACACTACAGAAATAAAGACCTACAGACTTATTAAAGAGTAATACGCTCGAATATCAATGAAGAAATTTGTGCTTTGCGATTTTTTTGTTAGGTTTGCTGAGACTGACACTGTATACGATCATTTCCCCGATAAATGCAAAGGTACCTAATGCAAGCCCAATAAATAAAACAATAAAAGGTCCGTACACCTGAGACACTGACAGGACCGCATCGTTCGTGAACGACGTTCCATGTACCATGTCGTCCATGTTGTCGTACTTGTCCCAGTATTGCATAATGCCAGTCTCCGATAGTCGAGACATTATTGTCATGAGTCGATGTCGAAATGGCGACCCTTTGCGCAGTATGAAAATCGACGAATACGATTCAATCACGCACGTCTGGAAAACGTGCAAGTGTCTGCTGTCGTTAAAAGTGCGCTTATATTGTCGTGCGTGAAAAAACAGCTCCCGCCTGGACGCCAAAACCGCCGTGTCCCGGACCGTCAATATTCTTTTAATGAAATGGCTGAACTCTTCGGGTGGCAGGATATGATAACGATCGACTAGCGCTCTAAAGTCGTGGCCCGAACCCGCTGAAGAATTAATCAGAAAGTACATTTGTTGGCGTCCCGCCAAATTTAAATTGGTCTTCAACAAAGTGTGTTGATCGTCAATCTCGGGATCGGCTCTCGGTATGGTGATTATACTTCCTAGGTACGCTTGGTATGCACTAGTCACGACCAAAGCGTAAAGAAGCCAATTGGTCAGGAATATTTGTAGAGCGGCAGGCAAGTTGGTCGTTTTTGTGACCGATGCTCCAATGAACGTACTAAAAGAATAAAAAAACATGAAAACTATATCCCGTTGGAGAAAAGACGACTGGCGGCCGTGGGACGATCGGGACAAAACTACCGTGATGAAAAATGCGACCATTATGCTGCCAACGATCAACGTCCACGTGATCGCTGAAAATTCCATCAAATAGTTGAGCCACGACGAAGGATCGCGGCCAATACCACTCGGCAGACTCCACGTGAAGCAGTCCATTTGGTCCTCTTTAATGAATTCCGTCTCGGGCTCCATATCGAATATTCGGGTGAATCGACCGAAGGCCAAGTCTACTTTTCGGGATTTAACTTGTTCGCCGATTGGAGAAGTGGCGTCTTCCGTCGGCGTGTATTTGGTGAATTTAAGGTAGCCGTCGTGCACCACAGAAATATCGGCGGTGAAGTTCATCTGTTTCTGTATGAACTTGACGATGCGAGACACGGACCCTCCGAGCGTCCAGCCACTGGGAGTCAATGTCATTGTAGAAGTCGGTGGCCTATGAACACCCAGACATTTCAGAGCGCATCTGCAAGACAAACAGTAAAGCCTGAAGTTTTGAAATATTTAAGACAATCTAATGGATTTTCACCTGTGCAAGTTGTTTATTTGATTGTCCTGACCAAATATTTTACGTTTTCTCATAAAGTCGTTCAGCCAACTGTTCCATACGTTGATCATGATCGGCGACCCGACCCGGTTACATCGTGATTCCGAGTACGGGCTAAAAGTGTACACTCGTACGTTTCCCGTCAGTAATGGCACCATGACAACGACGTCGATGAGTTGAAACCGCCAAAATATTTCAAAAATCCCTTGGATTCTGTGCAAGTCTACGCGGCGTTCAACGTTCCACAATAGCATATGTCTGGAATGGTCGCTCAGCGGTAGCGTCTTCAAAATGGGGTCGTAATCGGTATGTCGGTCGTCTATAAAGTAGACCAAAAGTCCTGCGGCCAGCGAGACATTACCGTAGGGCAATATTGTTCTAGGGTGGCTTGTGGTGGCCAATAAAAGCTGACCCAGTTCACTGCGTCTCACTTCGTCCGCAAACATGATCACTGTCCTGGAGCCTATGTAAATGTCAATGATCTTGCCGACGGACTGTGCGAAGTAGTCCACGGACGGGGAAACCATCGAATTCCTTTCGATAAATTTTTTTTGCAGGGCTTGCTGAAGACTCAAAGGTCGCGGAAGAGATAGTACCGCCGAAACGACCAAAACGAATCGCATAATGTAACCGATTATAGATTGATTATAAAATGATGGCCGACATTTGTCAACTGACAAAATACGTTATTAGTCGCAATAATTGAAATGGCAAAAATATTGCCATTTGGTTATTAATATATAACAATATATGGTTGTCATTTGATTATTTACACTTTACAATAGCACTAAGATATATAGTTCACATTAGCTTAATTACTTAGTTTATGCGCTGTTGTAATGTGTGCGCAGTCAATACCAACTTTGAGCACAGGATAACAAACAATGAATATTTTTCTGTTGTTTACAATGTTTAGAGGTGATTTTTAATAATTTCTGGTTTTTTCCATCACGACTATTTTTTGAGATAATTAGTAATTAAGCTTTAATAAACAGTTAAATCATTATGGTAAACTGAAAATAATTATTTTTTTAACTTTCTAACATAATTGATGATTCTTCAAAGGAGTTTCAATTCGTGGCTTATTATGCATCAAGTTCGACCGTTTTGGTAGACCTTTAAATTTAAGTTCCATAGTTAATTATCGGGAAAAAAGACTGTAACTTTCCATCATAATTATTTTTGGATAAATCTCATAATCTACCAACTGATAGATAATTTTGTGAGAAATTCAAAAACATTAACTTTTTGCTTTTTACGTGACAAATAATTGGCAAAAGCATAATTATGAAAAAAATATAACTAAAAACTCGAAAAACATGAAATTATAAATTTTTATTTTCAGTAAAGTTATTTTTCGAATTTGAAAAAAAATTTAAATCAAAATTTGTTGACGTTCAATACAATAATGCAATTAAATTTGTTATATTCACGTCTTACATAAATGCAAAACTCTTTTTTGCCATTAACAAATCAAGTTCGAAAAATAATAATAATTTTTCTGATTTTTATGATCTAATTCGTTAATTACCTCAAAACTAGATATAATGAAAGAAATCGGAAGCTAGATTTCGTCGAATTTTTCATACATGTATATAATACATAGAATTCATCTAAATATTATAGAAAGTAAAATGACAGTTATCCTGTGTCATCATAACTTTGACGTTTATAAATATATACATAGTTATTCTGTATTTTGACATCGACAAATATACGATAACTTACCATTTTGAACATTTATTGAATTGTTTTATATTTTCAATTAAAATTTGTGACCGTTATTCTTATTGGAAAATATAATCTAAAAAGGACAATACGTTAAAATCTTCATGGATCATCAATAAAAGGAATTGAAAATCTAATAGAGATAAACAAACAATAAGTTAAAATAATGTATTTTGTAAAATTATATTTATACTATTTCTAACAATAATTATTATTTTTTTATATATAGTTGTTATTAAACAATATCATTAAAACTTAAATAAATAAAAAAATAACTACAATAATTTGTTTAAAAATATATATCGGTAATAATTATTAGAAACAAAAAACCGCCCTTAGTTTTTGCGGGGCTTAGATAAAAAAAGTGATGGTGGAGTTTCCTATAAATAGCAATATGGAAAAAAATGTTTTTAATCTTACACGAGGCTTATAAACAGTTGATCTATCCTGGAGCCGACGCCGTTAAGAATTCACATTTTAAAAAAATACCAAATATAGTTACATTAGTTATTTTCTTAGCGACTACATTTTTTACATATACTAAAAAAATGTTATTATAAGCTTAAATAAAAGTGTTCATAGAACTATGTTAACAATAAAGAAGATGAAAATACTAAGTGCAAAATTAACATATTATTGTGTAATTCTATTCCAATCTAAATACAATTATTTTAATAATTAAAATCTTTTTTAATTTGGCTTATCAATAAATTATTGCAATTTTTATTTAACTAAACAAAACAAGTAAAAATTGGAAGATATTTCTTATTTATGTGAATACATTGTAATACTTTATAGATTAAATTAATTAAATTACTTCAATAAATTTATTTATTTGTCAAACAGTTATTTTTATATTGTAATTTATACTCGTGTAACAGTGAATTACTTCGGTAGCAGTTTCTATGAAGTCACCTGTAAATTTAATTGGACAAAATTAATATTTAAATCAAAATAAGAGATTATGAACTAAGAGTAATAATTAAATTTGAAATGCGTACAAAGGAATCCAAGTACTATTTATTAGAGTGTGATCATAGGTAGATAAAATATTTGTTTTTTAGTTGCGCCTATGTCACGAAGCTGTCTTACATATAAAAACAGCGTATAACATATAATTGATTAAGATATATTTATAAAATGTTTTGAATACTTTGATAAAAAATGTATTTGTTGATTAACCTGCATACGCCACAGACCATTATTTAAATTGGGATGGTATTGAACGTTACTTATGAAAATTATATTTAGTGGTGTGGCTTTTCAATAGTGACAGAATAAAATTTTACCCGCCCACACTAAAATATTTCCTACAGCATTGCTAAATATTTATTAATTTAGCATTCTCTAAAATATTGATGAACAAAAATAAAAAAAACAGCAAAATGATGTATCGGCACTAAAGGAATGCGGCAAAGTTTCAATGTAGAAGTATAGATGATATCTGACAGCTATTAACATCAGTATCATAAAAAACACTTCCTATATATTTATAATTTTACAATTATGATTTAAAATTTCACTAAATTTTAAATGCTTGTTAATTAGTTGCTTAATTGAAACAAACCTTATAAACCGCATACCAAAAGAAAATATACACTATTACAATTTCATTTGGATCAATGTTTAAAAAAAAAAGTTACATCGGTTTTGAAATGCAGGAACATTTTTTTTATGTTATATTTTACGGTAGCGTAATTCTGAGATATTTTTACACATTTCTAAAAATGAAGCCGTTTATTTCAAATTTTCGGCGCTGATTAGTATATATACTTTATAATTGGGATCTTTTAACATATTGATCATTAAAATCGGTCCAGTGACAGCTGAGAATTTTCATGGACAAACTCAAAAAAACACATATTATCACTAAACCAATACCTTCCAACTTCGCATTGAAGCTCAAAATTGGGTTGGTCAATATTTTTTTTTCTACATCACTATGGAAAAATGAATAAGGGCAATTTTAGATATAAAAAAAATATAATATACACCATCATAAAGAAATCTATTAAAAATTTAATTGATTTAACAATACAATAATTGTTTTAACTTAGATTTGTTTTAACTCTAATTATGGCTTTTATTAGGGCTTAAAATTCCATGAAGTATTTATAGATATTTTATGGATACTTCATAGAAATCACATTATAGTGTGAATAAATAAATAATAACTGTTACAAATTGTAGTATCACAGATAGTATGATTTATGATTTTCAAAATCTAATTTATGTTTTACTCTTTACTAACATTTATAGAAGACAAACTTAATTAACGTAGTCCATATATCTAACTAGAAAAAATTAATACTAAGGTAAGCATCTAATAAATTCGTTAAAGAATAGTTTCCCTAATAAATAAGTGGAGTGATCACTGTATGGACAATAAATAGTCTATATAACTAGATCCACAAAATATTTTATAATTGTAAATAGCATTACTATTCAGCATCAGTCTATTCACCTAACCACTTAATTTTTTTTTTTTGATTCAGGCAAGTACCGATTTGAAATTGTACTCACCAGTCACTATTTATGTGCATTACTTAAAATTAATTTGTGAGATTGAAAATAATAAAAAAGGAATATAATTCCTTTGAATAACACCCCTAAATTGAAATTTATATTTTGTATTGTTATGTATGCCCCCGTTTCTTCCAGACATTATTCAAACCGTCGTAAAATTATTACTAAATATCTGTCTATCAACATAGTTATGTAAAATTTATGTAATTTATGAATTAATACAAATTGTAAAAATAAATTACTAAACTGACTGAATCAATGAGTTAAATTTTTTTTAACTCGACGTTTAAATCTATAGAGTTTATTGACATTTCTCCCTCGTGACCTGGCGTATTAGTTATTAAACTTCAACTGGAAAAATAGATAATTTATCTAAACCTGTTGCTTAACTTTTATTTACTTAAACAAGATGCACGAATTCGTGCATGATGCATCACATACAGTATTCTTTGAGATAATGGACAAGATTTACAGTTTTCCCCAAAAACATAATCAAAAAGAATCTGGTTTTGTTAGGTTTGTTGAACTTTCCTAAAATGTTCGGTCACGGTCAAGGTTAGTCTATTTCCCTTCCAATCGGCAATCGCTAATAATATGAAGAGTTTGATCCTCTCACATTGTTCTGTTCGGGCCTGAGTTATATAAAAGGAATACGAGCGCTATACTGTACACTAAGTTTCAAAATCAGCTAAGAGGTTAAAACAAGATGGGCTTAACAACTCTGAAGTTGTTGATAGTACTGTACTCTGTAAGTAGTACTACAGCAGTTTTTAAGTTACTAAATAATATTTTATTTATAAATTATATAGTGTTTTTAATAATTATTTAGCTTGTTTTGCTAATGGTCATTGCAGCACCAACAAATGATGAACTTGATTTAGAACCATCACCTACGTTATGGATTGCTCGCCAATGGAGTCAAGGTGAGAGTGGATATCCAGGATCATACTATTCACCTAGCTATCAACACCCCTATCCATATCAACCACCAAATCCAAGTTATAGTGGTTGGGGACCAAATAGACCACCCAGACCGCCACCTCCACCAGGTTATTTGCCTAATAGCAATCCAAATCCTCAAATAGATTATTCAAATTATGGAGTACATGGTGGGCATGGTTTTGGTAGTTATGGAAATTATAAGTAATTTAATAAAGTAACACAAATGTTTAAGTCGTTAAGTTCAAAGAATTAAAATTTAATTTAACAGTAAAAAAATGTGATAATGTACAAATAAGTTCTTAATAGTTCATCAATAAATAGCCTATTTTATAATATATTTTTATATAAAAAAAATTAACAATATTTTTGTTAACAAGTTATATACTTGTAAAAGTGTTTCTCAATTGATTTCCTTAAAAATATAAATATGTATCAACAATTTTATCCTAAACAATAATTAAGTTTTTTTTCTTTTTGAGTTTTCTTTGTTTATATGCATTAATTAAATAGAACGTTTAATAATTGAACCTGTTATTTTAATCTTCTATTAATAAATATAACAAAATTATAGTTAAAATAATACATTCACTGCAATGTAGTGACAATATAGAATCATCATTTGAGAAACACTATATTTTTCAACAAAATGTTTAGTTTCTTATAGTATAAGAATAATTTTATGAAAACATTAGAAAATTGTATATTATATTATACAATTTTTAAATACATGAAAAATAGTATCAAAACATAATGAATTACATATTGACTAGCATTCAGTAAGTACAGAAATAATTAAAAAATTCCAATATAGAAATAAATCTCAATTAACAAAATTCTTACCTACATTAGCATAAATTGAAATGTAAAAAATAACACATTGAACTAAAAATTTCTTTTCTGTTCAATGAACAATAAAGATTAAAACTGTCTCTTAAATTAATCACTTTTATATGTTTAAGTAATTATAAAAAATTGTAAAACAAGTAAGTAGGAATTCTTATTAATTATACTTATTAAATTTTAGCCAATTTTTTTTTATAATAAAGAGTTCGGAATGCATTAAAAAATTTTGATTTGAATATATTGATATTTTTTTAAATTTAAATATAGTTTTTAAAAATACTTATATCACAAGAAAATATATTAATAGGTTATGGTATACTTTTTTGATAAAAAGAAATTTATTTATTAAAACTTTCATGGTAGAAGAAACTGTTAACTTTATTTCCTTTCTAAAGAGCAAAGCATTTTTTACTTGATTTTGATAAATAGAGTTTATGATTTTGTTTTAAATATATATTAAAATGAGATATTACTTACTGAGTACAAAATTATTCCGAACGCTTCATTAAAACCAATTAACCCTATAAATATTTACAATCACATTAGATAAAATTTATACATAATAAAAACTAGACTTAATTTTACTCTAAAATAAATCTATTAAAAATGTATAAAGTTATGAATAATGTCGATAGTAAAGTCTTTGTTGTAAAGAAATATTTACAAGATTAGAAACACAAATGGTAAAATTTTATATTGATATAGAACACATAATGAAATTGGTTTATATCTTAAAAAGTATTTCAATTAAAATTTTTATGTTGAATTTAAGATTAAAACTCACAAGTATATAATGAATAAATACATTCACACTCATTTAAATTCTATGTCACTAATATTTGTTTTGAGTAAAATATATATGTTAAAAATTTCAAAAAAAATTTAAAAGGCACATTTAATCGAACACAATAATAAACATGCATATCATCAAAATTGCCATAAAAAGGCTGAAATAAATTAATTGCACATATTTACACACAAATATAACTAACTTGTAATTATAAAATGTGACTCATGTAAAATGAATTAAATATTGTAAATGGTAACATTTAAAAATGACCACCTTCTAAAAAAATGAGAATACATCTAACTCGAGATCTTAATAATTCATTCAACTTTGTCTTTTAATTTTTGTGTCAAAGTTTATTTAAACACATATTTTTTATATACAAACAACAAACAATAGGGAGGGAGTAATGTAGGAATCCTATTACTATTTAAGAAAATGTAAGTTGAAACCAATTTTTATTATATAAAAAATACATATTACTTATTATATTCACTTTACATTATATGCACCATAAGTTTTGAAGAACTATGATTTAAAGAATAGCTGCTGGCATTTAAAATTGTGCAAAAATAGAATTTAACATTTTTAATAAAATATGGAAACAAAAATTTAACGATAATAAATTTTAATAGTAGTAACTAAAAAAATGATAAAACAATAAACTTATAAAATATTTAAAAGAATGATTAATTAAATAACAACAATTGGGTCAAATATAATGAAAATATTTTGTATAAAATACATTTTTTTCTATCTAAGCCTAGGTAGGTACCATAAATGTGATCACAGTTCAAAGAAATCCAACAATTTAGAGAATTAAAAATAATAATAACGAAGAATTGAATTACAATCGAAAATGATCATTATTTGTAACTGCATCAATATCTGAATCAGCTAACATTTGTAAATGTTCCAAATCGATTTGATCAGCTAGGCCTTGTCGTAAGCTTTCATCATTAGAAAAGAAATCTGTCTCAAATGAATTAGAACAGTTTAAACCTTTGACAAAATCATTGCGTGTGTCCAGTTGATCACCATTTGAGAAATCTAAATAATGTTTAACAATGGTTGTTGTAATTATTTCGAATACCAACACAAAATATTCGATTATAATTTTTACCTGTGAGTATGATATCTGGAATACTGGAAGGAGTATTTGGCGTAGTGTGTGTTTGGTTTGGGTATTGAAGTGACTGAGATGGTGATGTACTAAAATAACCAGGATCAGCTGTCAGCTCCGAATTCACATAATCATCAGTCTAAAAAATGTTTGTGTTCTACTTAGCATATATATAAATTTATACAAATTTTATTACAATAATGTACGTTTTTTTGTGTAAGATCACTTGATTTGTGTTATTTACCTGTGATAAGTATGTGTTATTAGTAGGGGAACCTATGTATTCTAAACCTGTAGATACAGGACTGTCAAGCTATTTGAAACATAAATCAGTACAATTTATTAATAAAACCAATTTGAAATTCTATTGAAAAGCAATAAATTTTTATATTGTTTCAACTGGCATGCAATTTATTTAAAAAAAGTTAATGTATAACATGCATAATATAAAAAAGCTACAGCTTATTTTAAAAATTATTTTTTTTTTTATTATTGTTTATATTACCGATTTTAAGTTAATGGAAACTAAAGAAGAGCATCAATTATACCAAATGCTTTTTTTTACCTGCAATTGAGCAGCCATCCAAGCAGTGGAATTTGATTCTTTAAGTGTTTGGATTAATTGATTCCAGTCCTGCTATATAATAGCGGAACCAAAATATAACATCTATTTATATTTTAAGCAAGCAATAAGAGTACATTGATGGATTTTCTAACAATATTTTTTAAATATAATATTGGCATGACCACCCCCCAATCAGTTTCAACATAAAAAATTGAAAAATTAACAATCAAAGACATTTAAGTGCATTGATTTCCTATGAGTTTCTGAACTAAGAACATGTCATTTGTCACTGTTAACATTTCTGAACACTTATATTAAAGCAGAAAAAAGGTTGGTATGGCTTAACTCTAAATTATCAAGTAGTATTTTGCCTATTACATTATTACATACCCCATGAATTATGAAAAATCATAAATTAGATGTATTATATTTAAATTGGTAAAATTGTATTAATGGGCACTGAATTAAATTTTCAAGTTGATCATAACAATAAACTATCATTAACTTAATATAAAATCAACTGGAGATAACATATATTTGATTTGTGTTAAATATTGAAAAAAATTATCATTTCAGTTAGAATTGGTTCAATAAGTTTTTTTTTTAGTAAATAGTGTACAGACTATTAGATACATCTAAAATTATGAAATTTCATTCAATTTATTCTAAAATGAGACTTAATTTTGGAATAATTTGAATTATATGCAAATTTTAATTAGTCTGTTTCAGCCTATTATTTGCAAGTTGCTATAATGATAAAATGTTATTATATGATATAAGTTAATTGTCATGCTTGTACCATTTAAGAATAGCAGGGAAAATTAAGAAATTTTCATTTATTAAGAAAATGGGAACTGTAATATTCAAATTTTTAGAACAATATATTTGATTTAAAGAATGATTTAGGTTAATGTAAACTTTAAAATAGAAAAAAGTGTTTTAACTTACCACCTCCTTTTAGCAAAAGCATAAATTTAAACATAATTTAATTAGTTAATGACTATTACCAGTATAGCAAATAACATTTTTACCCACCATAGTGAATTGTTCAAAATGCTGTTGTAATGTATTAGCTTGGACTTGATTTGTATAAAAATCTTTTTGGGTTTGATAATTTTGATTTTGTTGAGTGCTGCTTACAGAGCTGCTAGGTGAAGATGGACTTTGAGGACTATTACATACTGGGCTAGAACTTCCATACTAAAATAATTTAAATGATAAATAAAGTTAAATAAAATATAATTAGGTAAGTAATACTTGAATGGTTAGTCCAGGAGATGATTGTGGACTTGGTCTATTAGATTGATTTCTATAAGTTCCAAGTGAGTTGATATTGTTATGCTGATTACTTCCCATATTCATCTACAAGTTGAAAATCATAATATACGTCTTAATTTGTTAATAGTTAAATAGATATAATTACATGAGAAGAATTTATTTCATTTTGACTGTCAATAGGACTACACTGTTGTTGTGCTGGTGATAATGGAACATGTTGATGATATATTAATGTTTGCATAGGTTCTATTTTTATGCCATTTCTTTGACCTACTACATAATTTAAATTTGAGTTTGGTTGTAAAATGTGCATATTAATGCTACCATTACAACTTTCTCCTGTGTTATTATTTCCTGGACTGTTATCCACTGTAAATCCCTACAATTACAATTATTTATTTATAATTATAAAAATGTTTTTTAGATTTTAAAAAGAAATGGTTTGAATAATTTTATTTTTGATCATTAACATTTTATGATTGATAATACAAAATTTAATAATAAAAATAGAATAATGACTCAAAATTGAAAATTTTACCCTAAGTTAATAATTAAAATTTTAAGGTTTTAGTTTAGAGAATAAGTTGATTTTTTACAGTAATTTCTAGCAATTATTTTTATAAGAGGGAAGTCAAAATTGAAATTTTTCTTTTCCATTAAACTTATAATTAATTTTTAATTTTTCAGAGGTCCAAACCTTATGACTCTCCTCTCAATTTGTGCAAAATATTGATATTTAAAAAAAATTTTATCTAAAATTTTCTGGTTTAATAATTTTCTCCTATTAAAAAAAAATTTGATACTAAAATTTTCTGGTTTAATAATTTTCTCCTATTAAAAAAAAATTTGATACTAAAATTTTATGTCATCTTAAAATGTTTTTTTTTATTAAATTCAAACCACCTCTGATTCAATAATTTATAGAGTTTTACTTGAACACGTGCACAAACACAAAATGCAAGCAAACGTCTATGAGATAAAAAAAAAAAGCGTGCAACTAACCTTAGTAGTGCGTTGCAATCTATGGTTCATATAGTAAGGAACACTAAGATGGTTCTGCAAATATATTAATGACTTAAAAAAATAACAACTAAATTACATAAAAATTATTGAGATAATATAAGATTTTTACAATGTTTATACTTTATTTGTGCTAAATTTTTTAACACTTGAACAAAAGTTGATAAAATTCAATTTAATGTTTAAGATAAAGTATGTACAAAAATTATGTAATAAATTTCATGCTAAGTAAATAGTATTATAATCAATAGTGCTCAAATATAGTCAATTAAATACAAATAAATATAATGTAAGATAGAAAAGTACAAAAAAAAAAAAAAAAAATGATGAAAATAAATTAGTTTTGAAAAAAGAAAAACATGATTGCTTCATATTATATCATCATATAATCTAAACATACGTTCTAGAAGTTATAAGAACTTGTAATAATTGATTGTTACACTATTTGACAAGTGCAGGGTCAGATAAAAGCAATGAAAAGATATATACATTCTATTCTTAAAATTAAGGGATATGATAAAATGTGTTTAAGATAATGTTACATTTGAGAATTATATCAAACTCAGTTTTATTATTTTTATTGCTTTTTTGATATAAATATTTATAAAAGTTGGATGTTATATTTTGGAGTTATTATTTTTAAGATAATTTTGCATAAAACATAATAAGAAAACAAATAGTGACTGTAAAAAAAAAAAAAAAAAAAATGGATTAATAATATTCATTTACATAGCTGGTATGATTCATATATAAATGGCTATTACTTCAAATTTCTAAAAAAAACATCAGTATCTAAATACTAACATAAAAAATTTATTAATAAATTATAAAATATTCTTAAATTTTTTTAAAAAATATATAGTTGACTTTTAAGCAATATATTTCAAAACAAAAATACTATCAAACATTTAGAATAAATTTTCCATTAAATTTTTTCATTAGCTACTTTAATACTCAACATATACATTCAATGCTGGGGCTAGATATAGCGGGACTCAATGCAAAAACGTATTAAGAAAAATAAACTTTTTTTGCTCTTTATTTACGATCATGTGATCTTTATAAGCGTGAACCCGTGAGATCTGGGTCTAATCTGGTTGACTAAAATAAACACTATAAATACTCTAAGTCCCAAGCTTTATTTATATGCTATATAAACATATGTAAATTTTACATTAGAAGCAAGATCAATTAAGACATTAAGTAATTATACTTTAAATAATTTATAAAAAAAATAAAAATCATGCATTTTTATAAACTGTCTAAAAAAGCAGAAGAAAAACAGTACATAGTACATAAGCACAAACACAAAAAAAAAAAATGTTCAGAATCAAAAAGCAATTCTCTAGTCAGTAAAAAAAATAAATATTTATCTAAATGTGTATTAAAAAAATTGTAGCAATTAACCAAAATATTTTTTCAGTAAACAAAAAATAGAAAACTCTATAGAAAGACCATTAAAAAAAATTAATTCTAGTGTCAAGACTCACAGGTAACACAATGTCACATGTCACCACAGTAGTTTGATTAGGGGAATCAGGCGGTGGAGAACTAGTAAATGAAAATCGCGTTGGTGGAGTGCGACTACTGACAGATACAGGGGACAATACACTTGGGCTCTGGCTTGGAGTGCCTTGAGAACCTTGAGAACCCTGAGGGCTATAGCCTTCCGTTAAAGGGCTCTGCTGAAACAATTTTCTTATCTTATCATACTCTTATAATAGATTAACACAAGACAATATTTTTTAAATCAAAATATTGCTCATTATTAGTTAGTATTTTGTTAGTAATTACAAAAAGCACTAAATTATTTTAATTTAAATAAATATTTTATATTCTTACATTGCTATTATACGGCGATGGCAAATTATATTGATCATCCTGATCAAGTGGTGCATGGATTGGCGGAGAAAATTGGAAGTTAGTAAGGTCTGGAAGTGAACCAGTATTATTACCAATAGGTATCTGAACGACTCCAGGTTCTTGCTGAGTAGTATAAATACTAAATACCAAAAAGTTATAATTCATATATTTTTTTCAACTTTAAGTAATTCCCACTTATTGGATCAGCAATTAATTAATTTGGCAATTGAAAGTAAATAATCTGGTACAAATTTTCCGGTACACTATCGAAAATGTCCCTATTTCACTACATTAATTTTATCTAAGAGCAGGGACGTATTTAGGGAAGGAGGCGAGTGGGTATCATTGATGACATCATTTTTTTGTAACTATAAAATATAAAATAGGGCGGCAATAAAACTACTTAGGGTGTCAAAAATCTAAATACGTTTCTGACTTAGAGGAACAGTTTTGAGTATTTTACAAGTTGGATATTTGCAACGACAAATCATTTTTAGGACGCTATAACCGACTTTCATTTCATACCCGCGTTTAGAGTATAAAAATACTTGCAGGTTATGGAACAATTCCCTTGAATACCACACAAATTATAATTAATGAAAAAAATTGTTTCTACCTTTAACTTAAATATAAACATTTTTACTCAAAGTTCCTCTATACACGCTATTTAAGTTATTATTATTTTTTTTTTTTGCAATTATACGTATTATCTTATTGATTTATTTGATTACTAAACACAAATTCCCGGGTCTCAAAGTGAGTCCAATAAGTGGAGTCTATTATAAATAATGTGAACACAAGTTTACTTGATTCCAGGAACTCTAGGAACTTCACAGCAAGATCTAGGCCTTCTATCTGGCGATGTCGATAAGTATTTTTTCTTTTCATACTGTTGGTTATCAATTAATGCTGGAAAAGATAATATAAGCAAACATTAATAAATTATTTAATAATATTTTGATGTACACATACTCCTGCGTTGAGACCCAGGACTATGCAAATGAGCTACTGATTCAGTAGAAGTACTTTGCAATACACTGTTATGTAAAGCTGAGTCGGAGTTTGTACGTCTCCAACCGGAATCGGGTGGTGGCGGTGATAAGTATGGACCACTAGAGTATGGAGATTTATCGGTGGAACGTTTTTCAGATCGCATAGGCCCCACTGATCCAACACTTCGGCCTCTTTCCCTGTACCCAACAGGTCGTACGCGGGCCTCGGGGTTTTGGTCGGTAACTATTTCTTCTGAACCATTTGCCAAAGCCTGTAGAAAATAATTATATTAAAAAAAATTAGCAAAACGATTTGATCATCAATCTTTAAAAGAAAAACTACTAAGCGCTGGTGATTTGGCACTTTTTTATTATAGTATAGGTAGATAGGCCTAACTAAGACAATAAATCTCAAGTCCGTATAATTATATGATTCGGTAACAATAATTAAATACATACAATCTATTAATTTGTCAATAATATTATCAAAATTATAGACAAAAAAACAAAAATTTTTTTTTTCACTTTATTAATGTCTAAACACGTAATTAATCTTTTTTCTTGTAATTACATGTTGTACCCATTGAAACGTCAACTACATACTTTATGTCTGTAATAAGTATTATTCGTATAACTTCAAAGAAAAATCAGCCATAAATGTAAAAAACTCCTATCAAAGTATGTTGCAGTATTATATTCAATACCTCCTAAAACGACAGTGAATTGAATGAAAACAACTTATGTATATATTCACTGTAAGAAATGATCTAAAAATTCGCAAATACCAGTATGACATATTTTATACATATATTGATTTATCATACAAGTAGTGCAATTTTGACATAAAGTATCAAAAATTTGAACACAAATATAACATTTGTATCACTTTTTATCAAATGTTTCCTTTACATTGTATGCGTTAAAAAACTTCTAATATATGTAGGTGAAAATTCGAACATTATTTTTAAAAAATGGTTTAAAATATTAATACTTATGCTGACGTGAAAAATAATTTCAAATAGCCAAAATTTAAAAGTATCAGATGTTTTTTAATAAAACTTGAAGAGTCTTGAAAAACACTGACACGGGTTTGGTTAGAAATTTATTTATATATTGAAAAAAATAAAGTAAAGAATAATCGCTAATGAAATANAAAAAGTATCAGATGTTTTTTAATAAAACTTGAAGAGTCTACAGGCTTTGAAAAACACTGACACGGGTTTGGTTAGAAATTTATTTATATATTGAAAAAAATAAAGTAAAGAATAATCGCTAATGAAATAATAAAAATCCATTTAGTAATCATTATTTTTGAAAGTCAAGAACATTTATCTTATATCATACGTATAGAACACATACATATACATTGATACAAGCAATGTGTTTTATCATACCTTATATTTTGTTTTATAAGAATACAGTGCTTGTAACTAAATAAAAAATGGCAATTTTAATACTATCCTTATTATAAATCAAATTAGTAATCAGAAATTCAATATTTAAAATTTATTTAGAACTATAATTTATCTATTTGCATTCAAAAGTACTTGAAAATTTGCATACATTACACACGGTTGTGATAATTAATATTGGTTCCGTGATTAATATTAAACTGAATTCATCGTTAAATAGCATGTTAAAAATACAGTCACCTCTACATATAGTAAAAATAGATGTTAGTTTAAGTTGATTGTTGTGAATGTATAATTTCGATAATATAGATAACATAACGTCTGGATGTGATTTCGTAGTAAAAAAAAAAAAAAAAAAAAATCATGAACGTGATGAGTTGGACAAAACGCGTTAGTTAAAGTTTACGAGTTAATTACGAAACTCATTACCAACTAATGCAATGGACATTGAGTCTTAATAGGATGCACGTTTATTATTCAGTTTTGGATGAGATAAATAGATAAACAAATGTATTTATAATTCTTAATAATATTCTTTTTCTAAATACAAAAAAAAAAAAATGTTATTTTTTTTATATTTTGTTTATAACTTCAATTTGTAAAAACTATTTACTTTTCATTTGATGTATGAACAAAGGAGATTAATCTATAATGAAATTTATTGGTATTTTTTTGTATTAATATCTCATTTAAACAAATGCTGGGTTTCGCATTTTTCGCATGAGTAAATAAATTACTAGGTGTATCAAAAGCTTATGATTGCTATACAAGAGTAATTAGTTAACGCTGTCTAGCAAGTAATTTTGAATAACTAAAGAATATAGATAGTTTATAATTTTTATATCCAACTAAAATAACTTAATATAACAATTCAATAAAAAAACAAATTTCAAATGAAATGTTTACTAGATACATTTTGTACAAATTGCTTTTAATACAAATTGATTAAATCGATAATTTATTATAAGTCCTGATGTTTGATATAAATACTACAACTGAAATATCACACCAAAAGACTACATTATTAGTTAAAACGAAATGAAATTCTATACAACATCAAAATTACTCAGTGCTAACAGATCTCTTAAGTGTTTTAAGTTTACTCGTGTAAAAATAATGGTACGGTGGTAGTTAAACATATTAGACTGTTACTCTATTAAATAGAAATAAAAATATTAATATACACAGTTCAGATTTAATGATTATTTTTTAGAAGTACACAAGTATTATTAGGAAAAATAGAAAGATCCGTGCCCGTACATTATTTGAACGTTAATTACTGGGATTTCTTCAAAAAAATAATAATAATATTTAGAATTATTTTTTGGTTTCATATACTCATTGATTTATCAAATATTAAGTATGTACGAGGATCATCCCTTATACCCAAACCTTCACAAGAATACTTTATTTATTGAATAGAAACATACATAATTAAGTATGTTATGTAAACGAACATGACTAGCCGATAATAACTTTTGTCACCCGTTATTTCGGAAGTTATCAAGATTTTAAAATATAGACTGGGAGCTAGGCACATGTATGACTATTTATATCATTGGAAATTATACTATCACACTCCGTCTAGATATAAAAATGTTAATAGCTTGTGAAATACTCGTCTCATAAATGTTATCGCCCAGTAATTTTTTTTTTTTATTTAAGATACTTAAATATTTATGTTGCCATTAAAATATTTAACCTTGTACCCTTATAAGGAAAAGGGATGAATCTAAAAAGTAATTAACGATTGATAAATCGAGAAATATAAAAACTAAAAACACAAGAAAAAGAATTCTCAATACCTTTAATGTATTAGAATAAATTAAGTACAGAATACGATCAAAGAATAACCTTGTATACATTTAAGACAGAAATTTAAGTTTTTATTTACATTGTTTTTACACGTGACTATTAGTTCTTAAGATAATCACAAAAATTGTAAAATCCAACAATTAAAATATCTCGTAAACCATTATTTTTTGTTCTGATCGACTAAACAAATTTATACGACTATCAAGTTATAACATAACCGTAAAAAATGGTTTTGTCGGAAAACGAAGAAAAAATTGATACGCATACATAAACATTAAGGTAAAAAAAAAAACTATTCACGAGTCGTAATTCTATTGGGCGTATTCTGCGATAATATCAAATAGTGTAATGTAATTACATTACAGTCGATAATTATTACTCTATATTTATAATTTATTACTAAACGCAGCGCTCAGTAAAAATAAAACGCACTATTGCGATCATGTCAAACGGAATTAATTTTTTCATTTAAATTTTCCCCAAAGCTTCCGCATTGTGTGAAAAAAAAATATAGACACGTGGATGTCGGGCATAAAAAACACGGGCATAGAGCGAAGAAGTTCTACGGAAAAAAAAAAACGATTTTGTGGGTCAAAGTGACAATAATTAACATGGATCGCGAAGGAAAATTGGACGTTTTCAACCCTTTCCGAGAGATGTGGTACAATAGTTAGTGTAGTAACAACAATTGTTGTTGACGAGGTTTTCAAACGATCACGGCGGCGGCGGCGGATGGAGCGCGTGTTACAGACGGCGGCGGCGGCGGTTGGGAGTATGAGCCTCGTCGAGCGTGGCCCCTTACGATATTGATTGGGTAGGCAAGTAAAGTCTATGTGCGAGTGTAATCACAAGTAGGTCATCCGCCGCCGCCCACTACGTTGGCCATTGTGTCGTTGCCGCCGTTTCTCCAGTCACAATTATCCAACAGTTTTTCGGTTAAAACTCTTAGTATCATTTTATCGAATTAATAACATTTTAAACGCGAGTGTATGTAAAAGAAATGCCCTTAGCGGCAGAGTTGCCATCCGCGAAAAATGATCACGAGCGCAGCTCGGCGGTGGCATTAGCCCGGAAGTAGGACAAACGCGGGCCACGTGCCACCGGCGCCAAACGAATAACGAGAATTACATACGCTACTGCTGTCCACTTCTCGAGGATCGCCTTCTACCCCCACCACCTAATAACAGTCTTCTCGAAATTGTCCGAGTAGCGTTCCAGCTGGACAGAGAAAAACCACCGAGTTATTTAAAAACACTCCGAACGCGTTCCATATTGCAATGTTATGAAGTCTCACTCGTAGGAAAACGTGGAATAACTCCCGTTAATGACTCATACGCGTAAATGTTATAAATTTAATTAAGCTGCCGTTTGATCAAAACATTCCATATCGTTTACCGTGTTGGGATTTCATCAAAACGTTTAAAATCAAAAATGAAAATGGTGCCGTGTTGGACGATAACAGTAATAAAAGGTCAAGAAACAGACTATAGTACACAAAAGTAATATTTACATTATTCGGAGTGTTTCGAATCTAAACTGTACGCCGAATTTCCTACACGTTATTTTTGTATTTATTTACTAATAATAGTCGAGCCTTGGCCCCCAGTTAAATGGTAAAGAACACACACATTTCGGTGAATTTATGCTGAACTTCAAAATTTAAAAACAACACATTTTTTCGCTATGGTATTTTTCTCGGGAATCCGATTCCGAGTTAAAAATTCGGCACGCCAACATACATGATAAATAGCCAGAAAAGCAAGTGAGAATATAACTTTTGAACATTTTTAATTGATTTCTGTACTGAACGACGAGGGGCCGAGATGAAATTACACACTCTACGCTCAATTACGTCAAATTAAAAACGCTATAATAGGTCCGGTAAATTTTTTTCATAGGAGAAATGAAATAACAAAATAATATCGATAAGTTATTATCAATGTGTTGTATTTATTATTATTATTAGATAAACGATTATATCGGTTAATTTATTGTTGCGTTCCTCGGGAATCTTCGACGAGTATTTTTATGGCTATACACCTTTT